CAGGCTCCTGTATGTGGCTTAGGCTCCCAAAAAGTCTCACACATGTGGTATCCCCATACTCAGTAGAAGTAGCAGAATGTATTTTGGGGGTGTAATTCCACATATACCCATGGCTTGTGCGAGAAAGAAATCATTTAAATGACAACTTCGTGTAAAAAAAAAAAGAAAAAAAAAAGTTTTTGTCATTTTCCAGAAACTTGTGGAAAAAAATAAATCTTCCATGGATTCAATATGCCTCTCAGCAGATAGCTTAGGGTGTCTAATTTCCGAAAAGGTGTTTGTACTATTTGGTATTTTTAGCACCTCAAGAAATGTGATGGGCAGTCAGAAAGTAAAAGCTGTGTAAATTCCATTATCTATACCATAGCTTGTAGACGCTATAACTTTCACAAAAAGCAATCAATATACACTTATTGGGATTTTTTAACCAAAAACATGTAGCAGAATACATTTTGGCCTAAATATATGATGAAATTTTAGTTTTTTTAGATATTTTTTTATGATCAAAATGTGAGAAAATATTGTTTTTTTTCAAAAAAAATTTTTTTTCTTCAAAACTTTTTTCTGGTTATAGCGCCAAAAATAAAAAGTGTGCACAGGTGATCAAATACCACCAAAAGAATGCTCTATTGTGTTAAAAGAATGACATAAATTTCATTTATGTACAATATTGCATTACCGCGCAATTGTCCGTTAAACTAGCGCAGCGCTGTATAGCAAAAAAAAGTCGTAAATTGCAGTATCTATACCATAGTTTGTAGACGCTATAACTTTCACACAAAGCAATCAATATACACTTATTGGGATTTTTTTTTACCAAAAACATGTAGCAGAATACATTTTGGCCTAAATTTATAACCAACTTTGAGTTTACTATATATATTTTTTATAGCTGAAAGTGGAGCTCAAGTGGTTAACCAGCAGAGGATTTACCCCCCCCTTAATGACCAGGCGGCCTCTTTTTGCTACTCGGTGCTGCACTAATTCAACTGATAATTGCTCGCTGCGCGGTCATGCAATGCTGCACTTAAACGAATGCGCTTTTTATTTTTCACGCTATAAACAAAAAAAGGCCAAAAATTTTGAAGAAAAACAATATTTTTTAATTTCAGCTATAAAAAAAATATATAGTAAACTCAAAGTTGGTTATAAATTTAGGCCAAAATGTATTCTGCTACATGTTTTTGGTAAAAAAAATCCCAATAAGTGTATATAAATTGCTTTGTGTGAAAGTTATAGCGTCTACAAACTATGGTATAGATCAGGGGTGGGCAAACTTTTTGACTTGAGGGCCGCAATGGGTTCATATATTGGACCCGGGGGCCGGACCAAGAGTAGATGAATGATGTGTATGTGTGAATTAATATAAAATTAAATTAAAATTTGTAACATTAAATGTTTAGATTAATTTAAGGTAGAAAAGCATAAAGAGTTATTTTACAAAACTTTTATGCCCCCCACTAGCTGCTGGCCGGCCCAGCCACTACCATGCCATGCATAGTAAGTATAGTAATATTCCCCCATAGTAAGCATAGTAATTAATCCCCCATATAGTAATTCATCCCCCATAGTAATTCATCCCCCATATAGTAATTCATCCCCCCTATAGTAATTCATCCCCCCTATAGTAATTCATTCCCCATATTAATTCATCCCTCATATAGTATTTCATCCCCCATAGTACTATTCCCCCCCAAGTAGTAAGCCAAGTCCCCCTGTGTCAATTTACTTACCTTTGCTCCGCGCGTTCCTCTCGTCGTGTTCCCGCGCCGTTCCGGTCTTCAGGGCGGACTGTGAGAGGAGCCTAGCTCCCCTCACGTTCGTCACGCTGCCCTGCCTACACACATCCTGACAGCCAATGTTTGCCTGCCCTGGCTGTTTTTTTTTTTTATCACGCTCCGCGGCCCGGATTAAAAGGTTCGCCGGGCCGTAGTTTGCCCATTGCTGGTATAGATACTGCAATTTACGCCATTTTTTTTGCTATACAGTGCTGCGCTAGTTTAACGGACAATTGCGCAGTCATGCAAAACGGTACATAAATTAAATTTACATCCTTTTTTTTTTCCCACAAATTGAACTTTCTTTCGGTGGTATTTGATCGCTTGTGCGGTTTTTATTTTTTGCGCTAAAAAAAAAAATGGCTGACAATTTTGAGGAAAAAAAACAATATTTTGGACTTTTTGCTATAAAACATGTCCAGTAAAAAAAAATTTAAAAATCAAATTTAGTCATAAATTTCTGCCAAAATGCATTCTGCGACATGTCTTTGCTAAAAACAAAACCCAATACGTGTAAATTAATTGGTTTACGTGAAAGTTATAGCATTTACAAATGGGGGGAAAGATACTGGGATTTTTAGGTTTTTTTTTATACTAATAATTGCGTCGATCAGCGACTTATGGCAGCGATCAGTGACTTATGGCGGCGATCAGCAACTTATGGCGGGACTGCGGTGGACATTCTGACATTGGGGGGTACTGACTTGGGGTCACTGACATCCCCAGTGACTCCAATACAGTGATCAGTGCAAAAAAAAAACACTGACACTGTACTAATGGCACTGGGGAGGAAGGGGTTAAGTTTATTATTCAGGGAAAGGGTTAACTGTGTGAGGGGAGTGTTTTACTAGGGGGCGGAGGTGTGTACTGCAGGGAACACTGCTGATCGGGAGAGAGAAACTCTTCTGTCCTGATCAGCGTGTCCTGGAGCTGTCAGGGAACTGACAGAAAGCACAGCTACTGCAGCTGTGCTCTCTGTCAGCAATTGCCGCTGATCGCCAGGACATAGCCGGTAACAACCGGCTTTGACCCGGCGACTGACATCAACGGCTGTGATCGGCGGGACAGGTAGGGTGGCGGCGCGCCTCGCGCGCCCCCTACCTGTTTTCAAAACACACGTTTTAAAACGTGCTTTTGCCCAGCCGTGCCGCCCTGCCCCTGTATTTCTACAGTGGCTGGGTGGCATGTGGTTAATCCATCAGCAGGACCGGTATCACAGATGAGAGCAGGTTCATCCTGAGCACATGTGACAGATGTGAAATTGTCTGACACTGACTACGCTTCTCAGCCATATCCTACTTCCTGTACATAGTTATTTAGTCAGTTTGGGTAGTTTGTTTGCTGTTAACACTTCACTCATTAGATTTACTGTTTTTTGTTCATGAGGTATTGGTATGTTGGATGCTTGTTTAAATTGTTTTATTTGCTTTATCTTTATTAAATCACATTATTTATGCCATTCTTGTGCCTGGTATTCTCTGTGCAAGTCTACACATTTATGGTAACCCCTGTTTCCCAGGATTCCAGAACTCGGTAACCTTGACATTAACAATTGTTTTCTCTGTTAATCAATGATATACTCCTGCCCTGTATGTATTGTATGTATGCATTCAGCACTCTCATTGTAAAGAAAGATGTTCTTTACATAATGAAAGTCATGCTAACCTGTTTCGTAAGGGAAAAGGCAGTAATAACAGAATTATGTTCTAGATGTATTCCAAATAGACCAATATTTTTTAAATGTAAAAATTTTTTTTTATTAATAATACATGTAATACATACAAGAAACAATCAACAAACAAAAAAAAACAAAACGGCTTTCAGTGTGGTCATTTGTACAGTGTTTTGTAACCACTTGCCCTCCAGAGGATTTACCACCTTCCTGACCAGGCTGTTTTTTTGGCGTTACGGCACTGTGTTACTTTAATGGACAATTGCGCAGTCATGCAACGCTGCACCCAAATTAAATTTACGTCCTTTTTTTCCCACGAATTAAGCTTTCTTTTGATCGCCTGTGCGGGTTTTTATTTTTTGTGCTATAAACAAAAAAAAACAGACAATTATGAGAAAAAAACAATATATGTTTGACATTGACATTTAAACATGTCCAGTAAAAAAATCTAATTTTGTCATAAATTTTGCCCCAAAATGTATTCTGCTACATATCTTTGCTAAAAAAAATCCCAATGCGTGTAAATTAATTGGTTTATGTGAAAGTTATAGTGTTTACAAATGGCGGTGTATACAGTATACTGGAAATTTTTTTTTAGTAATGGCGGCGATCAGCTACTTATAGCGGGACTGCAGCAGGCATTCTGACACTGGGGGGAACTGACTTGGTGCAACTGACATTCCCAGTGACACCAATACAGTGATCAGTGCTAACAAAAAGCACTGATACTGTAATAATGACACTGGGCAGGAAGGGGTTAACATATGGGGCGGTGAAAGGGTTAACTGTGTGCTGTTTTACTAGGGGCTGTGTCCGCGTGCTTCACTGTAAGCACACTGCTCTGCATGGCTGTTTGTCTATTAACAGTTCTCCCCCCCGTCAGAGATGCTCGGCAATCACTGGGAGCTGGCGTGTAATCACCGGCTGGGTCCCAGTGATTGACAGCCAAGGCTGCAAATAGCGGCACGAGTAGGGCTCGTGTGCGCCCCCTACCCACAGATGCAAAATCACGTATATATACGTGATTTTGCTCACCCGTGTCGCCCTGTAGCAGTATATCTGCTATCGGGTGGATTGGAAGTGGTTAAACAGTATTCCATGACAAATCTGAAGTTCTAAGATTCTATATAACCTCAGATGGTGTCAAGAGAGAGGAAATATGGAAATTAAAGCAAAAGAGTATAAGGAAGGGGGTGGAAGCGGAGAAGAACAGGAGGCATGGAAGTAGGGGAGGAAGGGGCATGTTCTACTGATTTGTCCGTTTAGGCCAAACGCTATCATAATTCCTAGGACAGTCCCTATTAATTTAGATTAATTTATAGAAAGGTAACACAGATATGATAGTACATTCCCAAACAGGTACCTTTGGCAGTATTTGGGATTTCTAATGAAGTAGGCAGGGCCAGTGCCAGACTATTTTGCACCCTAGACAAGACCAGCTACTTCCGCCCCCCCAAAAAAGATAAATAAATACAGAAATTTTAAAACAGAAAATATTAAATCAACAAAACATGAAACTGCTACATTTCTTTTGAATCGCAAAAATAAGTGCCACAAGATGTCACCAGCACCATTATTAAAGACAAAATCAGTGTCACGGATGGACTGTATCTGTGGCTGGCAGTGGCAGGGTGACAGTTGCAGTGAGTGGAGGATGATGGATCCACACTCTGACAGATCCCAGGTAAGAATTCCCCAGTCAATGGGGGGAGATAAAACAATGTGACAGCAGGCAACCCAGCCCACACACACCGAGAACACCTGAAATGAGCGATCCCACACAATGACATCCCACACAACATACCACCACCAACACTGGCACAGATCAGCAGGCCCAGGAGGCACTAGAAGAGCAGGCTTTGGGATTGTAATAATGTAATCACTCACTGACATATTGCACATACAGTATGATGGATGGCTGGCCGGCTGGGTCACACTCACACAGACAGGAGACCTCAGACATTAACTTCCTCTACAGGCGCAGCTCTGCCTCCAGTGTTAAATGGAAGAGAAGGCTGCTGAAACTCCACAATAATTAGCAGCCACCAGCCTTCTTGCAGTAAGGGACTGAGTTTGAGAGGAACACTGGAAGGAGTGGCAGCTTAGCTGCTACACTGGCCCGAGACACCGGGCATCTTCCTGTGCCCTTTCTTCCTCCCCTCTGCTACCCCTCCTCTCAGCTGGAGGATCATTCATGATGTGGCGGTGTCACACACAGAGAGAGTACCAGCCTGTGCTGCTCCCAGGTGCCCCTAAATGGCAGTGCTCCCTAGGCGGCTGCGTAGTTTACCTAGTGGAAGCACCGGCACTATGTGATCACTGTGACCAAATCAGATTTGTTTGACAACTTCTGTCTTTCATGAATCCATTATTAAAAAATTTGAAACTATATCGTACCCTTGGCTGGCAACACCTGGTTTGGCTCCATTCCATATGATAGCAAATAGATTGCTCTCTCTGTAAATATGTGGGGTCCTCTGCTGTATAGTACAACAGCTGATATCTAGAAGTTTGCAGAAAAGACACTTTCAGCTTGACACTATCCGAAGGGGTAACAGACTTGGGTCAACTTATGCTGGTTTAATAGTTTTATTATTGTAGGATATATGTTCATACGGTGTATAAAAATTACCCCTTTCTTTTTGGAAAATTTCTGCATATTTTATATGCAATGCCAATTGAAAAGCAAAGGTAAGAATACTGTTGATTATTTCTGGAACTATATCGGCACTGTCTGTATGTCTATGGTCTGGGACGTATGTGTTACTTACTGATTACTGTTTTATCACTGTATGACAAATGTTATTTGATTTGTTTGTAGTTTGTCGTGCACAAATTGTGCGTTTGTTAAAAAACAAAACCTAAATGTTTAAAAACCTAATAAAAAAGATCTGATTACAAAAAAAAACAAAAAATCACAAAACATGGCCGCACAATGAAGATGCACGAGAAGTGGTTCAATCCTTAACTGTGTAAGGGGTTCTTTACTGTTAGAGCAGTAAGGATGTGGAACTCCGTTTCCATAGTTGGTGGTATCAGTGAATTGTTTAGATAAATTCCAAAAACATTTAGATATGTTTCTTAGCGAACACATAGTACAGGTATATTTAGAATGGTGGTGACATAAACATACATACACACACTTATTGTGTGCTGCCAGAAATTTGCAACAGTCTTTTCAGTCAATAACTACCTAGTGCACAATAATATCAAAGGAGGGAGTCTGGTTTTCCTGAGGACCAGAAATTCCTGTATTCTAAAAAATATCTGTCACCTGCTAAGCCCTTTAAAGAAGAAACCATAGTGGCTACACACAGCCCCCTCCATATTAATTTATGGAAAAGACTGATTAATCAAACGCAGTGATCTATTGACAAGCCAACGTACAAAGCCATAGCCTGCTTGTGAAAATTTGATCAGATCTTGGGAGAATGGCTGATATCAGTAACATTTGTGATGTGCCCAGTATAAAACCTGGTGATAATGGATGCTGATGTTGAATGTACCTTTTACCTGTAGTTCTTGCATGTTTGTTTTTTCTTCTATATGGTTTTACATCCAACATATCATCCTATATTATCTGTATTTGGAAAGGACATTCTAATGACTCTTCTTGTATGGATGAATTTTTCTAATTGCTAATAAATTGAAGTATATAAAAAAGAAGACACCCCTTTTTTAATCAAACTGGATAACAGTGGTATCAGTGATCAGGGATGGATTTCTAAATAGCCAACATAAGCCATGGCCTAGGAAGGCAGGGCTGCCAGGGTGGTACACACTCACCCACAAATTGGGTTGCTGACTGCCAGTAACATATTGTCATACATGACATTTTCACGATGATACATCTTTATGCCCTACCTGCAATGCATGCCCTGCGTGGTTCTTCAAGGTTGCTTCCCTTCACAGTTTGTCGAGCTTTAATGGAGGAATAACTTTACTGTGTACTTATAACTTACCAACTCTTGGTGTGCTCACCTAAATCAAAATGGATGGTACTCTAGCTTCCTTGTCTTTTTTTTTTTCTGTCTGTTGGTTTTAGATACTGAGGCAGCATGAGCAAACTGTCTCCTTTATTTTTCCATCTCTAGCTTTGCTTTGTAATCTTGTATGGTTATGATGCATGATGTTATTTGCATGACACTAAGGCTAGCCAATGAAATTTGATAGGAGAAAGGCAGCATCCGATAGTTGCCCAAGAGGGGCAGGAACTACCTGGTTGGTGGCAACTGGTGGCATTCGGGATGGATTACAGAAGGTCTTGGCCTTTTTACAGTATGCCTCATGTCAAAATCGTGACACTTGCAGGTAGCAAATATACTTTTAAAAGATAATATTACGTACATTTCAATTTATTCTCTGGAAGAGGAGTATGAATTTTGGAGCATAATTATTTCAAACTGAGGACATTTGGCCCTCTAGTCCAGACCCTGAAATCCATAAGGTTAAAATGTAACCTATATTATTAAGCCCAATGTGGGTGAAACATGTCAGAGGGGTGTGGCCAATGGGGGGGGCACTTGATCTGAAGCCCGTCTTTCACTTTTACCAGAAATTAATACAGTGTGAGGGGGTATTTTTGTTATATTGTACCTTGGAGCGAGATGTGCTCTGTCTCTGCCAGCACCTGAATGCAGAGCGTAAACCCAGGAAACTGACACTGTGGGCTTGGAGCAGTTCATGGAGTGCCAAGATAAGCTATAAACATGTCATCTAGTAACTAAAAAGAAGAAATGTATTTCCAGAAAGGTTCACGCCAAGGTTAAGCAGGGCGTCAGGATTCTAGTTTACAAATAAAATAGAACTGACACTTTTCAAGAGAGTTTTTATACAAAAAATAGATTAACATTCCAGAACATAATATTTCAACGAAAAGAACTAATGATTAGCAAATCTAAATGGTTTCCAAAATAAGACTTTCCTACATTTGCTTTGTATTTTGAATTACCTTGCTGTCTTGGTCTTGATCAGGGTCGTATTTACCCTAAGGCAAACAAGGCATTTGTCTAGGGCGGAATTTTTCAGGTGGGGCAGCACTGCTTCCTGGAAGAAGAGATGGAAGATGGGATACATCAGGTGGGATCTGAGAGAGACTGCGGGCTGCTTGACTGTGTATGCAGCATCCGACTCTCATTCCGGGGATGTCCTAGATTGTAAGCTTGAAAGAGAGGGCCCTCGATACCCTCATGTTTTGCATTGGATTGGTATTGTTCTGTCACATGTTCTGTCCCCCGGTGTATGTACAGCGCTGGCGAACTATTGGCGCTTTATAAATAGTATAATAATAATAATAAATAATGTCCGGAGCTGTGAAAGTGAGTGTCTCAGTTTCTGTTTGCCGGAGGGGGTTCGGCCGGTGTATAGGGGGCGATAGTAGTGGAAGGTGGTGTTGGTCGGTTTCAGTTTCTGTTTGCAGAGGGGAGGGGGGTGATGGTCGGTGTCAGTCTCTCTCTGTGGAGGGTAGGGGGGTTGGTCGTTGTCAGTCTCCACGGGGGGGGGGGGGGGTTGGGGGATGGTGTCAGGCTTTCTCCGTGGGGGGGTTGGTGTTGGTCGGTGTCAGTCGCTCTGCGCGAGGGGGGGAGAGCAGGGTTAGTGTTGGTCAATGTCAGTCTCTCTCCTGATCGGTGTCAGACTCTCTCCACAAGGGGAGAGGGGGGTAGGCCAATTTTTGTGTTGCCTAGGGCAGCACATAACCTAAATACACCACTGGGTATGATCTACATCACTAGTTGCTCTTGAAAAGTGTTAGTTACATAGGCATAAAGGACATGATGCGCTTTGCAGTGAAGTAAAAAAAAAAAATGCAGCAGTAAGGCTATTTAAGTTTGTCTCAGGCAATAGTGCAGTATTTTATTTGTTTTTAAAACTTTCAAAAGATTGTTAAATTTTCAGGTAAGTAATAAACTGAAGCAAAAAAAAAAAGCCATGCACATTTTTTTCTAACAATTAGTGCAGTGTTTTATTACCCAAAAATAATGTGAAATTTTTGGCTACAAAATGCAACAAGCAAAGTCCCATTCGACAGTGTAGTTGCATAATAAATTAGTATTTTTACCAACTTCAAAATTGCAAGAGATTGTGAACTTTTTTGACAAGTAACAATAGACAGCAAATAAAGCAAGTTACACCTGTCCAATAAAATTGTGCAGTATTTCATCTTCTTCAACATTTCAAGACAGTGTGACGTTTTTGGCCAAGTGACACAAAAATGTTTGTTCCTGTGGAACTGAAGGCAACTGCCATTGATCCCAAGCATAAAGATTCATAACCAGTTGACCTCTGGCAGATTTACCCCCCTTCCTGACCAGGCCATTTTTTGCACAGTCATGCAAAACTGTGCATAAATAAAATTTATATAATTTTTTTTCCACAAATAGAGCTTTCTTTTGGTGGTATTTGTTCATCACTGCGGTTTTTATTTTTTAAGCTATAAACAATTTGGAAAAAAAAAAACAAAACAATTTTTGTAATCTGCTATTATTATTATACAGGATTTATATAGCGGCAACAGTTTGCTTAGCGCTTTACAATATAACGGGAGACAATACAGCAGCAATACAGTTCAATACAAGAGGGATTTGAGGGCACTGCTCCTTGGAGCTTACCATCTAATCTGCTATAAAACATATCCAATAAAAAAAAAACAAAAAGTAAAATTTTCTTTATAAATTTAGACCAATATGTATTCTGCTACATATTTTTGGTAAAATAAATCCCAATAAGTGTATATTGACTGGTTTGCGCAAAAGATATAGCAGGACTGCGATATTGCGGTAGACAATCTAACACTAACTGACACTTTGTGGGAACCAGTGACACTAATACAGTGATCAGTGCTAAAAATATGCACTGACACTGTACTAATCACACTGGCTGGGAAGGAGTTAAACATCTAGGGC